CAACTTGGTGAGAACCTATCTCAAATTTAAAATAAAAGGGCTGGGGGTGTTGCTCAGTAGTACAGGGACTTGATCCCCAGTACTGCAAAAAGGAAAAAAAAGTTTATTCTTAAATATTTTAATTCTTTTTGGGGCTTTTGTAATGGGATTATTTCTTTAATTTTCTTTTCAAATTGTTCATTATTAGTGTATAGAAATTAGCAGATTTTTGCATATTGATGTCATATCCTGCAATTATTTATTTCTCTGTGTTTCTACAAATAATGTCATCTGTGAACAGATAATTTAACTTCTTCCTTTACAATTTAGATGACCTTTATTTTTCTTATCTGCCTGCTAACAAGAATGTTCAGTACTATGTTGAATGGAAATGGAGAATAGACATCTTTTCCTTGATCCTGATTTTGGAGGGAAAACTTTCCATTTTCACCACTGAATATAATGTGCTTTACATATATAGGCTTTATTTGATTGAGGAATTTTCCTTCTATTCCTACTTTATTGTTTTTGTCATGAAAGGGTATTGAATTATGTCAGATGCTTTTTCTGCCTCAATGAGCTGATCAATAAAATGATCATGTGACTTTTGTTCTTATTCTGTTAATGTGGTATATGTATTGTGTATATTGAACCATCTTTGTATTGGGATAAAACACTGTTGGTTGTGATGTGTAATCCTTTTAATATGGTGTCAAGTTTGCCAGCATTTTATTGGGAATTTTTGCATTAATATTTGTCAGGATATTAGCTTGTCATTATCTTTCCTTGTGGTATCTTTCTCCAGTTTTGGTGAAATCTAGTCTCAATTTCATTATTTCTGTTCTAATTTTTATCATTTCCTTCCTTTTGCTAACTTTGGTTGAGTTTTTCTTTTCTAGTTCCTTAAAGTATAGTTAGGTTTTCCATTTGAGATTTTTTTTAAATGCAGGTGTTCACTGCTATAATCTTCCTTCTGCTTTTGATGTATCCCATAAGTTCCCATATGTTAAATTTTCATTTATCAAAAGATTTTTTTTAATTTCACTTTTATTTCTTCTTTGGTCCATTGTTTGTTCAAGAATATACTGTTTAATTTCCAAATGATTTAGAATTTTTTTAGATTTCCTTTTGTTATTTCTAGTTTTATTCTATTGTGATTAGAAAACACAATAGTGCACACCTGTAATTCTAGCAATTCAGGAGGCTTAGGCAGGAGGATTACAAGTTCAAGGCCAGCTTAGCAATAAAACTTAGTGAGACCCTGTCTCAATATAAAAAATAAAAAGGGTAGGGGATGTAACTCAGTGGTAAAGTGCCCCTGGTCAAAAAAAAAAAATACTTGGTATGATTTCATCTTTTTAAATTTGTTAAGATTTGTTTTGTGACATATGATCTATCCTGGAGAATTTTCCATTGCACTTAAGAATGTGTATTTTACCAATGTTGGGTGAGGTGTTCTGTATGTCTGTTAGATCTTATTGGTCTAGTATTGTTCCAATTCTGTTTCCTTAGTAATTTTCTGCCTAGTTGTTCTTCCACTGAAGGTCAGGTACTGAAACCTCCTGCTATCATTGTATTACTTTCTATTTCTTCCTTTAATTCTGTCAATGTTTGCTTCATATATTTGGATGCTTTGTTACATGCCATGTTTTATTATCATTATTTTTATTCTATCTACCTTTTCATCATTATAAAATATCCTTCTTTAACTCTTATATTTTTTACTTTTGTGTACACAAACACACACACACACACACACACAGAGAGCCACTGCTACTTTCTTTTGATAACCATTTGCTTGCAATAACTTTTCCATCTTTGTTTAAGCCTATATGTGTCTTCATATCAATAGCAATTCTCCTGTAGACAACAGTCTTTTTTTTTTTAAGACCTTATTTAGCTATCCTCTCTATCAACATCCCCCACCATGTGGTACATTTGTTACAACTGATGAACCTACACTGAGACATCATTATCACCCAGTCCATAGTTTATCATAGGGTTCCCTTTTGGTGTTGTACATTCTGTTTGGATAAATGTACAATGACATGTCAGTGTATCATATATCATACTGCCCTAAAAGTCCTCTGTGTTCTGTTGATCCATCCGCCCTAGCAATTCCTGACCTTTCCATTGTCTCCATAATTTTGCCTTTTCTAGGATGTCATATAGTTGGTATCCTATAGTTTCTAGACTTTTCAGATGACTTCCTACTATGTACTACGCATTTAAGTTCCCTCCATCTCTTTTCATGGCTTGAAAGCTCATTTGTTATTATCATTGAATTATAGTCTGTTGAATAGATGTGCCATAATTTAGTTATCCATTCACCATTCACCTACTGAAGGACATCCTGGTTGCCCCAGTTTGGGGCAATTATGAATAAAGTTGTTAAAAATAGGTTTCTGTGTGGACATAGTCTTTAGTTCCTTTGAATAAACACCAAGGAGCACAATTGCTGGTTTGTATGCTAAAAGTACATTTAGTTTTATAAGAAACTGCCAAATGACCTTCTAAAGTGGCTAGACCATTTTGTATTTCCACCAGCAATAAATATGGGTTCCCATTATTCCACATCTTTGCCAGCGTTTGTGATATCAGTGTTCTAGATTTTGGCTTTTTAATAGGTATGTAGTGGTGATACATATTTTAATTTGCAATTGCCTATGATACACAATGTGGAGCATCTTTTCATGTTTATTTGCCATCTCTGTATCTTTAATGTTTTCATGTCTTTTGCCAATTTCTTAAATCATGCTGTTCATTTTTGTATTTCTTAGTTTTCTTACAAAGACTTCTTTGTATTTTAGAAAAAGTCCTTTAAAGACTTTGCAAATATTTTCTCACAGTCTGTGGATGATCTTCTCATTCTCTTAATATTATGTTTCACAGAGCATCTGTTTTTCATGCTAATAAAGTCCAGTTTATCAATTGTTTTTCTTCTCCTTGCTGTGGGACTGAGAATTAAACCCAGGGGCTCTCAACCACTGAGCTACATCCCCAGCCTTTTTATTTTTTATTTTGAGACAGGGTCTTGTCACATTCCCCAGGCTAAATTTGATTTGCAATCCTCCTGCCAGTCTCCCAAGTAGCTGGAATTACAGGCATGAGCACCTGACTCAATTGTTTCTTTCATGTTTCTTTAGTGTGGTATCTAAAGAATTATCATCATACCCAGGGTCACTTACATTTTCTCCTGTTTTCTTCTAGGAATTTTATAATTTTCTTTTACATTTAGGTCTCTGATTAATTTTAAGTTACTCTTTGTGAAAAGTTTAAGGCCTGTGTCTAGATTTCTTTTTCTCTTCAATTTTTTTTTTTGCAATGGATATCCAATTGTTCCAGTATCATTTAAAATATTAACTTTGCTTCATTGTATTTCCTTTCCTCTTGTCAAAGATTTGTTGTCTATATTTGTATGGGTATATTTTGGGGGCTCTCTATTCTGTGCAATTGAACTCTTTCCTATTCTTTCACAACCACCCTGTCTTGATTATGATGACTTTATAGTTAAGTCCTGAATTCAAGTAGTGTTAGTCGTCTTCTTGATCAATATTGACTATGTTGAGTCTTTCACCTATCCAAATAAACTTGAAAACCATTTTGTCAATATCTACAAGATAACTTGCTGGGATCTGGATTGGAATTTCATTCAATCTACAGATCAAGTTAGGAAACTGACATCTTGATAATACTGAGCCTTCCTAACCACAAACATGAAATATATCTCCATTTATTTAGTTCTTGTTTGATTTCTTTTTAAAAAAAATATTTATTTGGGCTGGGGATGTGGTTCAAGCGGTAACATTCTTGCCTGGCATGTGCGGGGCACTGGGTTTGATCCTCAGCACCACATAAAAATAAAATAAAGATGTTGTGTCCACCGAAAACTGAAAAATTAATATTTAAAAATTCAAAAAAAAATTTATTTTTTTAGTTGTAGTTGGACACAATACCTTTATTTTTTTTTATGTGGTGCTGAGAATCGAACCCAGGGCCCTACACGTGCTAGGCAAGCACTCTACAACTGAGCCACAACTCCAGCCCTCTCTTTGATTTCTTTTAACACAGTTTTGTAGTTTTTGTCCTGTAGATCTTGTGCATATTTTGTTAGATTTACATATAAGTATTTCCATTTGGGGGGATGCTAATATAAACCATATTGTGTTTTCAACTTCAAATTCCACTCATTCATTGCTGGTATAAAGTGATAAACTTTTGTATATGAACCTTATATCCTACAACCTTGTTGTAAATGCCTATAGTTCCAATCCTATACAAAAACTCTATCCCTTTACCTTCCCACGCTAATTCATGCTATTAATGTCTTTTAATATTTTGTATTCATTAACATAGTTTAAAGTGATTTTTGCTCTTAAATTTTATATCAGAATTAAGCGATTTATGTACCATCATTATATTACTTTTTTAGGGAGAGGGGAGATTGAACTCAGGGTCACTCAACCACTGAGTTACATCACAGCCCAATTTTTTAAAAATATTTTTTTAACATTGATAGGCCTTTATTTTGTCCATTTATTTTATTTTATTTTTTTAATATTTATTTTTCAGTTTTCGGCGGACACAACATCTTTGTTTGTATGTGGTGCTGAGGATCCAACCCCGGCCCGCACACATGCCAGGCAAGCGCACTACAGCCTGAGCCACATCCCCAGCCCTTGTTCATTTATTTTTATGCAGTGCTGAGAATCAAACCAAGTGCCTCACACATGCTAGGCAAGTGCTGTACCATTGAGAGCCATAACCCGAGCTCCCCTAACCCAATTTTTGTTTTTTATTTAGAGACAAAGAGTTTTGCGGAGTTGCTTAGCGCCTCGCTTTTGCTGAGGCTGGCTTTGAACTTACAATCGTCCTGCCTTAGCCTCCCAAACTGCTGGGATTACAGGCATGCGCCTCTGCGCCTGGCTTATATTCTTTTATTTTATATCTGTCTATATAATTAGCCACAACCCCAGCCCTGTTTGGTTCTTTAAAAAAAAAAAAACTTTTAACAGACTGGCTTCATACAATAAAAACCTTTAGTAATCAGTGTGGTTAAATTCTGAGGATCTCTGAATACTTTGCGGGGGAATGTGACTTCTCTGGGTTTATGCTTGTAATTTCTTAGATGTTTGCCAGTTTCTTTTTCAGGAGCTCAATAATCTCTTGCTCCCTCTGGTGTCTGCCTACAGTGCTGCAGGCTCTCTGGTGCTATAACAACCAGTTTCTCTGTTCTCCTTTTTACTTGGTGAACCCCAAGCATCCAAATTTTGTTGACTCCAATAAATTCTTCAAAATGTTTGAATATTGGACACACGTTCTACTCTTCTCCCTCCCTCTCCAGGGAGGAGCTGCAGTTGAGAATCTTCTCCCAGTCATACTGAGTATGAAACCTATGTACCACAGTATATGCTCTTTGGTGAGACAGCAAACTTCTCTGGCTTTTAGTGGCTCCCCCAGGCATCCAAACTGTTCCATTTCCATCAGCATTCCAAGTTAGGTGAGGTTGGAACCAGTTCTTCGGGCTGCCCTCTGAAAATTCAGTGAAAGTATGTTACACCCTTCTCTTTCATCCTCGAAGAAGAATCTATGGTCCAAGCTGAACTGTGCTGCTTATAAGAAAGGCAATCTTGGGTAAAGCAAAATGATTCTTACCATTTCAGTGTTTCTTTCTTGGCTTTGTGTTTGTCTGAAGCCCCTTACTTCTGAAAGAACTCAAAAAGGTATTTTAGGTTGTATATTGTTAAGTTGGTGTCTCTATGGGAAAATGGTGACTGGGACTTCCTATTTCACTATCTTGCTGACATTATTGACTCATATCTCTACTGTAATGTGATCTTTCATTCACTCTAAAAACATTTGTAACTAGAGATTTAAAATGTGTAGAAAAAAGTTACCTTTGATGATGGTAAGACACCAGCTGTAGTAAGATGCACCACAGTCTTTTATGGCAAACCATAAAAAGGAGGAAAGGGTTAAGGGCAAGATGGGAGGAGTGAGGGGAAGAAGCTAGTGACATGCCATGATGTAACCCCCTCCACCCAAATTCCTAATCTCTAGAAAAGGATTCTAAACTTATAAAATGCTTGGTTTAACAGAATTTTCAGAAGGAAGAAAGGAAAAGAAAAAAGTGAAGGAGAAAATAAAGGAAGTTCTCACACACACACACACACACACACACACACACACGTGCGCGCACACACACACACACACACACACGTGCGCACACACACGTCAAAGCACTGACCAATATAGAAACCACAGCTAATGAACTAGGTCAAAAAAGGGCAAATGAGATTGGCCAGGAAGTCCTGACCCAAGATCAAAGCAGACACTTGGTACATTGGTATTGGGCTGAAGGCAAGAAGTCTCCAAGTCACTGCAGTTGTTTCTAAGGTTCCAGGTCTAGAAGGTTAATCATACCAAGCTCCCTGGGCTGGGAAAGAACCAGTAGATCTAGATTGGCAGTGGATATGATAAATAGCCTGGTCTTGGCATCAAACATACCTAAATAAATCCCAGCTCTGCCAAGTCAGGTCATTTAACCTTGTAGAATTTTCTTATCTTGAAAATGGAGACACTTCTACTTTATAGCATGAAGATCATAGGTAATAGGTGTACAATAACTGGCACTCAGTAGGCATTTAATAGATGGTGACATTTATTATTAAAAAAGTCATGTGCCAATTTACATGTCTAAGTTTAGGTGACTATGTTTAAAATATTGTGTGTAGATTTTCCAAAAACAAATGAATATGAAAAGTGTTTTGTAACTGTAAATCATCCTACAAATGTAAGGGAATAATTTGGGAAGTTTTCTACAGCTTAAAAAAAAAAAATCACAGGCTTTGGGTAGAATAAGGTTCAGTTCCTGGCCCTGACAATTACTTGCTTTTTTATCTTGGGAAGTAACTTTCTATCCACCTGTTTCCACATTTGTTAAATGTGCATAATTCTCCTATGGTTGAGAATTTAGTAAGAGGATGACTGTAAAGTTCCTGGCATCTCTCTCCCTGAACAAGTGGCAGGGACCCCACATGATAGGTCAGGTCATGGGTGTATCAGTTTCAACAGATTCACATTCTGCCATTAGCTACAAATGAGAGGAACCCTTACTCTGGAAGGCAGGGACCCAAACTGACTAGAGAGACAGAAAGAGACATCTGGAGGCTGGAGTATAGCTCAGTGGTAGAGCACTTGCCTGGCTAGGTTGGGCTCTGGGTTCAATCTCCAGCACCATGGGGTAAAGCAAGATAGGGGTATTTTGTATTTGTTAGAGGAAAGCTAGGTGAACACTAAACTTTCATATGAAGCCAAATCTAAACCATCTGAGGCCATGTGAAGCCAGATCTAAGCCAGAAGGCCAGAAAACCAGGCATAATTCCCTGTATTCCCAATCTTAGGGATAAATTATTGATATTAATGGCAAACTTACTATGGGTCTTAAGATTTTTCTCATCTTATCCCATCCCTCAACATCTACCCCGCCACTGACATTTTTCCAGCAACAGAAGAAATCCTCAATCAGTAATCTAAAGTTGAAAAGGGTCTCATGCTTAGTACTGACTTCCCACACAGTGAATAGTCCAGAGCCATATCACAAGACCACGCCGGCTCCCATCTCCAGGTTTATCGACTACATGGCTCCTCCTTTAGAGGTCAGCAACGTGAATGTAGTGAAAAAAAAAAAGAGCATCAGTAGAGAGCCAAGGAGGCCCAAGTTTAAATGGACTCTACTATATACCTTGCTTCTGTTTCCTCATCTTATACCCTTGAGGACTGCTGACAACTAAATGAAATGAAGAATGTTGATGTAACCAGCAGAATCAATAGCTTATAGTGAATACTCAATTGGTGTTAGTCCTTTCCTTTCTCCCTTCTCCTCAAACACTTAAAAGACTCAGCCTCCTTTTCTTTGCTTTTCAGAACAGCCACCTATCTGTCTTTTCCTTTTTTTAAAAGTTGTATATGGACTCAATATCTTTATTTGTTTTTACGTGGTGCTAGGATCAAACTCAGGGCCTCACACTTGCGAGACAAGCGCTCTATCACTGAGCCATAACTCCAGCTCCCATCTTTCTTTGTTAGAATTCAGTTCCCTTCCAGAATGGCTGCACTGGGACACTCTCCCCCGCTCCCCCGCTCTTCAAGTCGGTCCATGGGTCTTTTTCGTTGAATTATTAAGTGCTAATCATCACAAGGAAACAGATGGAGAGTGAAGTGGGGATAATAGGTAACAAATATGGGGGAGTGTGATGATTCTAGTGGGCTTCTCTTTCATTCCTAAGACAGAATCTCAAACCTCTTCTCAGGCCAAGAGGGACCCTTCCATTAGGAGGGCCACTCCTCCCAGCCTCCAGATCCAGAAGCACGACTTGAGTTGGGGTATAGCTGGTAGGAACCTAACAGCCCACTGCAGTGTACCCTAAACAGTTCATGGACAATATGAAGGTACTTCAGACAGTGATGCCATCTCACAGGTGCTTCCTCAAAGGCCAGAGAACTGCTAACCCAATAACATGAACATGTCTGGAGCCTCCCCTACTTCTCTTTCACATCCAACAAGGTGAAGCCAGGACTGGGTTCTCTGACTTTCTATGGCAAGAAATTGCCCGGGAGGATTTTTATTCAGAGTCCCTTCTCAGGATTTCTTGGAGATCCTGGCTTCAGAGGCAACAGGAAACCAATCTCCAAAGTGGGATGAAGCATTTGAAATCAAGGTGGCAGCAACAGATCCTAAAGGTCTTCTTCCTCCATTAGAATGGGTCTCTCACTCTCTCTTCCCACTCTAACTGTGGCTTCCCTTCAGCTGGAATCTTTCCCATTCTGCTCACCCAAGTGTGTTTTCTGATGACGAATAAGATTTGAGCTCCGGGAGAAATGCTTCCCACAAAGAGTGCACCGGTAGGGCTTCTCCCCTCTGTGGGTCCTCTGGTGTGCTCCAAAGTTGGAGATATCACTGAAGGTCCGCCCGCATTCAGCACATTCGTATGGCCTCTCACCAGTATGGGTGCGGTGGTGTACTCCAAAGCTGGAGCTGTTGCTGAAGCTCTTCCCACACTCACAGCAGATGTAGGGCGCTGGCTCCAGGTGGGTCCGATAATGCCCAGCCAGTGTGGCACTCTGGCTGAAGCTCTTACCACAGATATCGCAGCGGTATGGCCGCTTGCCCAGGTGATCTTGCTGGTGCGTGGTGAGGTCTGAGCGCCGCCGAAAGCACTCCTGACACTTGGGACATTTGTAGTGCTTCTCTTCCAGGTGGATCCGTTCATGCCGGATGCGGTTGGAGCTTCGGGAAAAGCTCTTACCACATTCGGAACACTTGTAAGGCTTCTCACCAGTGTGGATCCGTAGGTGTGTTCTCAGGTTAGAGGTATTGGTGAAGGTTTTGCCACACTGAACACATATAAAGGGCTTCTCCTCTGCCTCAGGCTTTGGAGGAGCAATAGGATTCTCTGGTCCTTCAGCTGGGGCAATGATTTTCTGCCATGGCTCTTCTGACTGTGTTCCTTGTGGCCTCATCAGTGGGTTCTCCTGCCCATGGTCCTTTTCCCCAGATGGGATGTGAGAACCCTCTGAGCCATCCACTCTCCAAGGCTTACCCGCTTCCCCTTCCTCAGGCAGGTGTGGTTCTGGACTCTGCTCCTTCTCACTGCCCATCTCTGAACCCTGAGAATGAACACAAATGTTCAAAACCTTTATTCCTTAGATCAAGCCAGACCTTATAAAATCTTACATGTATGCACCTTCCCTATGGAAACATCTATCAGGATAACCTGATTTAACTGGACTGCTTGGACAGAAAGCTTTTACTTACCAACTTTCAAGTGACAAACTTTGACAGATATATAACGCTACCCATCAGAGCAAAACAAGACACAACCTTTGTCTACTACCCAGATGATTTCTATGCAATTGAACAATGTCACTCTTCTTAATACCACTAAAAGATGACCATTTAGACTGTCTAGATTTGTGTGTAAGGAGCTTTTGTTTTATGATGAGTTTAATTTCTCTGCCGAACTGTAACTAAAACTCTCTTTACATTTAATTTATTTTAAAAATGTTTCTTAACCCATTTTGTCCTATGGTCCCAGATGTGGAACACCTATAAAAACTTAATTTGAGCAACAAATATATACCAACTATGGTAATTTTGAAATATGTGAATATTTATTATGTATGCAGAATTTAAAACTTGGGACTTAATGGATTAAAAGTATCCACTTATTTGATTGCCTTTGAAACAAAAATAACAGACCCTCTCATTCCTAAGGCCCTCCTAGTTGTCTACAAGACCCAGGTCTGAATCCTAAATGTTCCACTACCCCATCCCTCTCTAGATCTTACCATAATCTAGTAAATAAAGGGTTAATATCTAGACCTCCAAAACCTATTGCAGGGCCTGAACTATATCTCTTCTGACTGATCAGTACACACTTCCACCAGTGCCTGGAGCTGCTCTGGAAATACACGCCCTTAAGTCCTGAGCAAGAGATACTGAACAATTACTGCACCCCACAATAACTTACTGGGCTTTAACTCGGATAATGAGGAATGAGGTGTGGCTCCAGGATTAGGTGTTATCTGGTAGGGTTGAGTTATAGTTCCTTTGTAATCCTACCCCTTGCCCTTTATCTGACAGCGTCCCCCAATAAAAGCCAACTGGAGAATGAGCACTCCCTCTGTCTCAGCCTCTTGTGACTTTCTTTTGCCCCCATTGTGGGAGCCTGAGGCTGGGAGCAGGGGAAGCCCTCCTGTAGTTTATAAAAAGGTATTCCATGTCTATGAGGTATTTTGTGTCACCCCAAATTCACACGAGTGACTTTGGTTCAGTTGCCTGCGCTGAACAGTTGGAGCACATCAGTCTCAAACATCACATAAAAACACACACACAAAGTCACACATACTCAAAACACATACAAAGTCACATTCTCACATGATACAGTCACATATACCACAAACACACTCAGTCACACTTATACCACACATACATACCACATACACAGCCATGCACATACCACACAGTCATACAAACACATGAACATCCATACACCTTCACATTACAGTCACATATACACAGCTACATATATACAGATCACATACCATACACACCCCTCCCACACATATAGCCACATTCAATATACATGGACACATACTCATGTACCATACACACAAACAGCCATACTCTTATATCACACACACAGTCATATGCACACACACAAAGATACATACCACATACACAAAGATATAAACACTGATACACAAGCCACACTCCTCTCCACAACACAGCTAAACACACAATGCCCAGCACACGGCCTGCTTATGCAACCATCAGTAAAATGCTTGCTAAGTGGCACAGAATCCTTTGGTTCCTTTAGCCAAGGACAGGAAAGGAGGGGAAGAAAAAAGTACTTCTGATAAGACAAGAGTGGTGGCATGTCCTCTGGTCCTTGAAGAAATGATGACACTTCAAAAGGCTGAGTGGGCTGATGGAGATGCTGTCCAGAGCAACAAGAACAAAGGAATAAGGGAGGGAAGCACAGACTCTAATGAACACTGACAACAACGAAGTCTGATGATTCCTGCAAGTCAGCAAACATTTTTGAAAATAAGCCACAGTAAAAGGGGCACTGACTACATTAGCATAAGTTATAATGGTGACACAGACAGATGATCTTTATAACTTTGCAAATTATTCAATCACTCTGAGACTCAACTCCTTCATCTCTAAAACTGATAACTACCTACAATATAGGTAGTTATGCTGTGGGACTCTGTATTAGAGAAAATGCCTATACTACACTCAGCAGGGTCTGCGAGACACAGTGTTCATTCAGCAAGACAGCTGCTAGTATAATTATCAAAGACATTATATCCTAGCTTTGTGAAGAGCACAAAAAGATCAAAAAGATCCTTTCAATGATATTATTAGGAAAGAAACGTGTTTTAATTAAAAAATAGTACAAGATTACATAATCTCAATGTGAAAGATAGAATATCAACTCTCTAAGAAGCAGAGATCAGCAAACTTTCTGTGAAAGGTCAGATAACAAACACTTAATAAATATTTAGGGCCATAGGATCACAGTTGTAACTACTCAACTCTGCCACTATAGCATGAAAGCAGCACACACAAGATGTAAATGAGTGAGGTTGTGTTTCAATAAAACTCTGTTTAAAACAACAGGTAACAAACTGCCATTTAACAATCCCTGTTAGCATTCCTTGAAGAATTTAGATAAGCAATATGAAGATTAATAAGCCTGCTTTAAACACCAGTACTTATTCCTTGATACTTACTCTTCTCTGATTATCCTGTAAAAATCACAACCTCCTCCCACATTCCCAGTATTATCTGCCTCCCATGATCAACACAAGTTCTATGAGGGCTGGGATCTTTGTTTATTCACTAATGTAGAATAGATGCAACATAGATGCTTAATAAATATTTGTTGAATGAACTGAATAAAGGAAGGCCAAACTTGTCTCCAGAACCCATTTTATGCCTATTCACATCTATTCTTATCCAATGTTTCTTGGCAATTTCCGGATTCCTCCCCACTTTCTCCTTTATGTGCCCACAGAATCTGGTGCTTGCTGTTATGGTGATCTGTAATTACCTGTTTCCACTAGTGGTTTATAAGCAACTTGAGGAAAGAGACTGGGTCATCATAGTCTCTTTCCTACATAATCTTCTGTAGCATAAAGTGGGGTATGCAAATGTCTTTTGAATTAATGAGTAAATGGATATTATCTTAATCCATTCCCTGCCCCTGCCTACCCCACCTAGGACTCCAGTGTCTGTATGCAATGAGCTATATGGTCTGCATTCACTTCCAAAACTGTTATTCTGAGAACCTATATTTTACCAAGATTGGGCTCTTCCCAGGACTAAATGCTGGGTCAATAAAAGAGCAAAAAGATTCAGAATTACAACTTCCACCCTAAAACAGTTTATTATACAATGTAGTGACATAGACATAAACTCCAGAAACTGCCATTCAATAAGAAGGTTAAGTTCCAGTGGGCAAGGAACTTATATACCATCTCCCCAGTGCCTAGCACAGCACCTGGCATATTATACAGGAGCCTATAATAGTTTTTTTTTTTTTTAAGCTCATACAAAGGGCTAGGCTCTGGCCTAAGCAAACATATGAATCACATCATTTAATTTTTACAGTTATTCATTTTTCATCCTTATTTTACAGATGAATAAACTGAGGCTCATAGAAATTAAGTGATTTGCCCAAGAGCACAAAATAAGTCACTGGCAGAACTGCAGTCCACCACTCCAAAGTCAAGGTTTTTAACCATTATACTAGTACTGGTGGGAGACAAAAAAGGGAAGGAGGGACAGAAATAAAGAAAAGAAAAACAGTCACAGGAGTTCAAGTGAAATGGGCAGATCAAGGACAAGCAGCTTCATGGAAGAAATGGTATTTGAGGTAGAACTTACAGGATGAGTGGGTAAACAAGACCCAAACTGATAAAAAAGAAGGGAGATCATTACCTACTGAGAAGGCAGTAAAGGTAAAATACAGGACCATTCACATCATATTTCAGAGATTTGAGGGAGAAAGGGGCCTATTTGGCTAATTTTCCTAGGGACTCAGCAGAACTCGGAGCAAGAGTGAAAGAGATCCAGGTAGTGGAGAAGAAGCCAGGTCTAAGAAACACCAGTCAAGATGGGGCTGGTGATCACACATGATGAAAGCCAAGCTGATATGTGGTCTGAAGGGTCAAAGTTCCAGGTCTGCAACCAAATCAAAGGAGGTGAGAGGTGTGGGGGATGAGGGGAGAAGAGCTTGGAAAACAAGGACAAGGTGTTGAGAACAGGGGAGCTAGAAAAAGCGTCACAAGATCTGAGGAAATGTGATGCAGAAGGGTTTGTTCAAAAGCCGTCATGAAGTGTCAGAGACCAGGGCCCAAGAGTTTGGGTCGTGTGCAGGGGGCGGGGAGAAGCGGGTGGAGAAGTCAAAGGGTACAGCGTTCTGGAAGGGTCAGAGACAAGAGGGTGGAAGAAACCAAGGGCTGATCCCACAGGTATGCTAAGTGGCAGGACTCTGGAGTATTCAAAGGTCAACCAGAGAAGGGCGGGGTAAGGAGTGGGTGTAGGGACAGCTGACTGGCCGCCTGGGCTGGGGGACAGCGGCAGGGTCGGGTGGAAGGACCAGAGGGCCCCTTTGCTACCCACTGGGTCCTGGAGCAAAGCAGCAGCCGCCAACTCCTCGGTGAGGGGAAGGGACCGTCCTCAGAGTGCCCAGCGAAGTCGTGTCCGCCTCCCCCCACGACCTCGGCCCAGCCGCAACCCACCTCACTCCCGCCGCTCAGTCAGGTACAGCGCCGCCTCGCTGGGCGGGGGAAGGAGCCGGAGACGGAACCCATGAAGGACCCGCCCTGCAGCTCCAGGATTGGGTTCTGGGAGTCACTCTTCCTTCCCACTGGCTGTATTGGCTGCCACAACGCACGAGGCCCAGGCGGGACCGCCAATAAGCATTGGCCTCGGACGTAGCATGCTGGGAGCTGTAGTCCCGAAGAAAACCGTAGCCTCGAGGAAAACATTTGCTAAGTTGAGAACCGAACTGTGAAAATTGGTTTTGTTTCTAAGGTCTTAAGGTTTCCTTCCTTTGAATTGGTGGCCCTTGAGGGTCATCCAGCGAAGCCTTGAGTCTGGAACCTCACTCAAGATTTATAATTAAAGATTAAAGGAGTGTGGATCTGGAAGGGAGTTTAAAGATAATGTAACGCAGTCCCCTTATTGAGGAGCTAAATGTTCCCGGTCCAAAAATCGACCTCCAACTCTCCCAGCGGCGTTGCGCAGGGATTTTTTTCTGGGTCCCATATGCATCCCAGTTAAATCTGACAGTAGATGCAAGATCACTAAAGTTTCCAGCAATAGGATTTCGGGTTTGGGGGGTTTCATTTTATAAAGATGATAAAAGCTAAGTGAATATGCAGGCTAACTATAGGTTTTTCAATATCTGCATGATATTTTCAGGGCAAAGGTGCGGGGTGGGGGGCGGGGGGAGCTCTGCCTTCAGAGATAGAGAACAGGTTTGTAAACCCAGCACTGCCACTTACGCATTTGGAGCCCCATTTTCCCCTCTGTAGAAATTCCTGGCCGATTGTGAGGATTAAATGAGTTCATAGATTGATTGATTGATTGATGAGATAGATAGAGCTTCTGCTTCCACAAATGTCAGTTTTCGTGCTTACCCGACTGCACTCCACCCCATACCGAGGGATTAAACTCAGGAGGCACTCTACCACTGAGCCAAATTTCCTGAGCTTTTTTTTTTTTTTTCCGGGATTGAACTCGGGGGCACTCAACCACTGAGCCACATCCCCCATCCGCACTTTTTTTTTTTTTTTTTTTTTTAAATTTTGAGACAAGGGTCTTGCCAAATTGCCCAAACTGACCTCTAATTTGCAATCCTCCTGCCTCAGCCTGGGTAGCTGGCATTACAAGGGTGTGCCACCGTGTAGGGTAGCATCAATTTTCTTTTCAGCTGGTAAATTCTCTCCATGTGCAAGTGGTGATGGTGCACACCTGTAATCCCAACCACCGGGAAGGCTGAGAGAGGAGGATCACATTGCAGGCCAACAGTGGCAATTTAATGAAATCCTATCCCAAATTTTTTTAAATGCAAAGGACTTGAAATGTATGAAGCACAATGGTAGAGTACCACTGTCACTTGGTTCAATCATTCATATATATCTCACAATGGGTGGGGCCAGTGTGTACAATGTTAGTTTTAAGATTGGAATATTCAGGAAAGTGTTTTTAGAACTGAATATGCATGAGAGAAATCAAATACCTGTTGTACACAATTAGTTTATAAATTGATAAAAACAAAACATTAGAAGGCAGACTCAAGAATAGAACTGTCTTTTTTTATGAACTGTGGTTAAAACTTGCTTCAGTGGACTCAAAAGTGTTTTAAAATCCCAATCCCATAATATGTTTTTCTCTTAGCAGCCCAAAGCCTTTCCCCTTATAAACTTTTTGTTTATAAGGAAAACAGCATAACAAACAATGGATACTAAAAGCTTTATTTAATAACTGTACAAAATCAAAAAAATTCCACTCAGTCACTGTGATGGTTAATTTTATGTATCAGCTTGCCTGGGTCACAAAGTACCCAAATATTCAATCAATCATTATTCTGGGTATTTCTGTGAGGATGTTTTAGGATAATATCAACATTTAAATCAGCAAACTGAGTAAAGCAGATTGCTCTCCCTAATGTAGATGGGACTCACCCAATCATTTAAATAACTGAATAGAACAGAAAGTCTGATCCTCCCCCAACCAAGACAGAAATCACCCTACCTGACAGTCTTTGTATGGTATATTAGTTTTTCCCCACCTTCAACTTGAACTGAAAACATTGGTTCTTCCTTGGTCTTGAAGTTGCCAGCTCTATAATCATATGAACCAAGTCTTATCAATCCTCTTCTCCCACTCGATATATATGTACACACACACATTCTATTGATTCTGTTTTCTGGGAGAACACTGTTATAAGTGCTAAAGGAAAGACCATTAAACAGACAAAAAGAACAGTTTTCTGGGAGAACACTGTTATAAGTGCTAATGGAAAGACCATTAAACAGACAAAAAGATCTACATATTCACACTGTATATCCATCTGCAAAACGATAGCCAGTATCTCAACAAATAAGCTATATCACTCCCCAAAATCCGATTCATTATTTTATCCTCCCACCTTCTTATCTTTCGAATAAGAATCTACCAACAACTTCTTTGAAATCAATACTCTCTGACCTAAGAGGCTGTTTGCTGCACAAATAGTCAAGTCTTCCATTATAATGGTCTTGTGGGGGAAAAAAAAAAAACTGTCACTTTTTTCTCATGGGGCCTCTCTGAATCTCAGGAAAGTATTCAAAATGGCCAGTGCAACAGACTGGCTCTTCTGACTCATCTGCCACAACAGACCTATTCCTCTATCTCTGTCCGTTCAAGGCCACACACAGCTGAGTTGCTCTGTTACAGCTGTGCTTCCTAACTGTGCTTCTGAGGATCCTCAGAATTATGGCTGCTGTATTTAAAATTCCTGTACCTGATTATCATCAATATGTAAATTGGCTTTTGAAAAATGTACATTTGCTCTGAATGTCTCTAAACTATGTTATAAACATTATCAAGAAAATAAAAAAAAAGATGGCATATGTGACCCCTCTGCCCTACCCCAGCTCCTGAAAAAAGAAGGAAAGGTGTATGATTTTATTATTTTTAAAAACCTGACTTTGTGGGCTAGAGGTCTAAACTGAGAGTGAGAAAGAGAAAGATGGGGCCAGAGGTGTGTTGTGGGGGGAGGGGGGGTAAGGGGCAAACAATCCTTGATAGAATAAGTAAGAAGTCAGGGTCTGAGGATCTAATTGCATCATTGAAAGTCCAAATGCAGGATGAGTCAGAAGCAAGTACTCAAAAATATCCCCTTGAGTAGAGGACCCTTTCCCTGAATCTTGAGGACACACGTTCAACATCACCTAAACTGAGCATTTGCTTTTCAGGGTTATGGGAACCCTAAAAGAAAGGCAGGGTTCAGAATTGAGCCCTAAAAAAGAAGTGGTACAAATTGAAATCACACAAGGATCTGGATTTCAGTTAAAGGGAAGAGATGTCGCAGGATCAGGTGTGGACCAAGAGACTGAAATCCAGAGTCCCCGGGCTGGATGTCATGGGAGCGGGACACGAGGCACAGTTCTAAAAAGAAGGAGCCTTGAGCCCCTGAAGGGCAGGGCCCAGGTCAGAGGGCCAGGACATCACTGGGGGAAGCTCTGGGGCCTGAGGAGGTAGTAAGGAAGGGTTCACCTTCAGGGACACATCTCCATTAGCATGGCCTTTTCCTTCTGGCTTGGGGACAAGTGAGTCCTCTGATTTCTGGAGTTCTGAACAGATGATTAGAGGTGCTATGTTCTTCCCTCCATCATGAAGACAAGGTTCAAAGAAAGGGCGAAGGGGGCCAGAGAAACTATGAGTGAAAGTAAAGATGTGGGATTTGTCAGTCACGTTGTAGAAGGAGATGATTCCCGCTTCGTAGTCCAGGAAAATCCCCACACACCTCGGCGGCTCTTTCAGGCGGAAGGAGGTCTGCGGGGAGGTGAGAGCTTGGTACTCATTACCATGACTCTGTCCACTCTGTCGCAAAAGCCAGTGTCCATTGGCGGGCGAGGCAGTGACCTTCCCCTTCCTGCTCACCGACTCGCTACACACCCCAAGGATCCATTTGGTCTTGTCTCCCACATACACTTCCCAATAGTGACAGCCAGCCGTGAAGTACTCAAAGCCCAGAACACTGACGACGAAATCAAATCTCTGGGGGTTGTCAGGCACAGGCTGCTTTCTGTCACCAAGCTTCACACATCTCCGATCCTCAGATAGGATGAGTTTGGGATGTGCTGTGTCTGGGTCCAGGGTCACTGCCACTGCAGAAAGTCACAGAGAAATGAGGATTGGGAAGACTAGGTCTTAAGGGATTTTGGGGGGTGTCTTTGGAAAGAGCCATAATCTCTAGGTCTGCAGTCACCATCATTGACCCATTTCTTTTCAAGCCTCCTTGTCCCTGCCACAAAAAAACCAGAACCATAGAATACTGTCTTTCAAGAAGTTGGTCACCTGGCAGGGAACAAAGTAAAAGAGGGGAAAGTGCTTCACCTGTCTGTGAGGCTTCTTTAATCCTTAGGAAATAACATCTTTGACTTTGATGTTCCAAAGAAATCTAATGAATGATTTAAACATAGACTTTGATGTTAGACTCTACAGCCACATGTCTCAGTATCCCAGCTCTGCCATATGCTAGTCACATGACCTTGGGTTTCTTGATCATCTCTAAGCTTAGCTTCATTATCTGTAAATGGAACTACTAACAGAGCCTACATCATAGAGCTGTCACATAGATTGCTGAACTAATGCATGAGATTATGCCACATTCCTACAGAGAGTGAAATTGTTGCCTAAAATTATTAGTAGTATAGAGAAAAATAATTCTTGCTTGAAATTGTTGGTTATGAAGCTCGAAGTGAGTCTCACTTTTGCCCCCAAATAGAGGAAACCCATTCTTCTTGGGGAGTTAAATACACGAAATCTATATTCTGTTGAGATGGTGGGAGTAAATTAGACTGTGAATGTGAGACAGGAGGCTTTGTGAGTTCCAGAATTCCAACCAAGTGTCCCAGTATTCTTTCAATTGATCATTTCAGAGAGTATAAACGGGAGGGAATTAAAGTTCCTGGAAATGAGCTCAAAGCAGTGAAAAGAACCAACCTACTCAAACAGCAGTAGAATTGCAAATTATAAGGAATAAATTGAAAGAGAAACTTAGAGCCATTAGCACACCTATAATCCCAGCTACTCTGGAGTTTGGGGCAGGAGGATCACAAGTTCAAGGTCAGCCTGGCAACTTAGTAAGATTCTGCCTCAAAATTTAAAAACAAAAGTTTAAAGGATTGGGGATATAACTCAGTGGTAGATTGAACCCCTGAGTTCAATCTCCAGTGCTGCAAGAGGAACAGGAAACATTAAAAGATGTAAATCTTTTAGAATAAAATCATGAACTTTTTCATAGTCCATATTATTGGGGTATCTTGCCAACCCATACCCTTCTTCTCTGAGAATCTGGTCACTATCACCCAAGAAAATTGGTCCACAGACAGGTGTATAGAAAGAGGAAAAACAGTAACTATTAATCTGATTGTAGTACAGGAAGGACTTTCCAAATCTGAAAGCACTGAAGAGACCACACAGGAAAATATCAATAAAATTGACTTCATAAAAATAAATGCTTGTGTATCCAAAATATCATAAGGAAATTAAAATGCAAATGAAAAATAATTAAAGGGAACGGGAGCAGACAACTCACAAAGAAGAAATATAAATAACTGATAAACTTAAGGAAAAATCTCAAAAATCATAAAAATGTGCAAAAAAATCAAACCTAATATTTATCAGTGTTCTAAAAGAGGGTAAACTTTCTAAATCTAAATGTGACTCCTAAAACTCAAAGTTTAAAAAATTTTTGATAATCAAATAAATGGATTTGATTAAAAAAATTTTTAAATTGCAGTCTGCATTAGAAAGGAATGGAGCCAAATCTAAGGCTACAGAAGAAAATGATCCTCCTGCCCCAACCTCCAGAGCCTTCAGGAGGATGGGTTCTGAATGTGAATCAATCTGATTAGTATAACTTACCAAAATGTAGCCGGGCTCTTCTCCAACCTGAAAGACATAAAAGAAGTGCCATAGTTGGGTCATGAATATCTCCCAAAGATCTGTGTATTGAAGGATTGGTCTCAACCTGTGACCCTGTTAGGAGGTGATGGAAGGTTTAGGAGATGGGGCATAGTGGAAGGAAGTTAGGTCCTTGGGGATATGCCCTTGAAGAGGATATTGGGATTCTGGCCCATTTTCAGTTTCTCTCTTTGCTACCATGAAGTGAGCAATATCTTCTGCCACACACTCTCACCATGATGTACTGCCTCTCCAAAAGCCCAGTCAACGGGCCAACCAATTATTGACTGAAACCTCCAAAACTGTGAGCCAAAACAAACCTTTCCTCCTTACAAGTTGTCCATCTCAAGTATTTTGTCATAGTAACAGAGAGCTAGCACAAGGGAATTGTTAAACCAATAAAGAAATCAAGAACTCTCTTAGGGTGGGGATCAAACATAGGGAAAGTGCATCTCACTCACCTGAGTTGGCTGCAGCTCTTTTCAACTCTATGGAAGAAGAAACAAAGCAGGTGAGCTATCACTGAGAACCTCAGGACAACAGGAGGTAAGTTGATATTTAGGTTATAAGAATATGAGAAACTTACTCAGTTCCATCCGGAGTTTCTCTAAAGAATAAAAATAGTTGAACAAATCAGATCAAGAGCTACTACATATCCACAATGCTACTGTCTCATCCTACCCACAGTCCTAGAGCAGATCTTCAATAGCTATATTCTAGCACTTCCCCATTAAGAATGTCTATAATGGCAATATCTTCCAGCTATGGGCCTTGGGTCCCCAAAGATACTGCAGAAGATTAACAAATTTTTATGTGAGCCAAACCTTACCAGCAGACAAATAACTAATGCTTCTCATATCCACAGGTAATGACAAAATAAATGTGTATAGATTATCGTGGGGAAAGAATAAAACATAAGTTCATTTAAAACTATCACTGAGGGCTGGGGTTGTGGCTCAGCGGTAGAGCGCTCACCTAGTACATGCGAGACCCTGGGTTAGATCCTCAGCACCATATAAAAAAAATAAGTAAGCGGCTAGGATTGTGGCTCAGCGGTAGAGCCCTTGCCTAGCACGGGCGGGACCCAGGTTTGATCCTCAGCACCACATAAAAAAATAAAGGCATTGTGTTGTGTCTATCTAACCAAAAACAAACAAACAAACAAATAAAGGTATTGTGTCTAACTATAACTAAAAAAATAAATATTTAAAAAAAACTATCACTGAATCTCTGTTAGATTTTATCATGTATATTTTCTCCTTGTAAAACAAAATTGACATGTCACATGTCTTCAGATTTTTTCAAATAATAAAAAGATATTCTTATAGAAGAAATGGTGGAGGCACCCTGCTCCTGCATATTCAGTCAATGGGGATCCGTCTGCTTTGGACGCCACATTAGGAAAGGCCATGACAGGGTGATAAAAGATACTTCCAAATGGTTTCACCCATGGGAGCCATTTCTCCTCTTGGTATAACATTTCCCATTTAGAGACTAGATAACAGTTATGCAAGAAAGAGAAGCTGGGAATATTTGAGAAAAGAAGACTCTGAGAGCCAAGGAATTCCCAATCTCATGGCTTGAATTATCTTGCCCCCTCCCTTCTATCCCAGGAAGTGAAACTGAAATGCTCATCCAAAAGCAGGGATGTCAGCATAAGCAAGTTGTGCTATGGAGGAGTAGAACTTACTCATGCCTTTATGGAGTCTTCCTAAAAAACAAGAGAGAGAGAGAGAGAGAGAGAGAGAGAGAGAGAGAGAGAGAGGTGAGTGAGCGATTGGTTCTTGCCCCTTTATCCCTAGGGCCCTAGAAGGCTCACCATCTCTCCCACCATGATGTACTGCCTCCACCCCCCAAAATGGAAAGGGATAATTTTCCATTAGTCCCTAAACCAATACCAATACCATGTCCCAGAAATCAGACTCAGGAATCCAGTGGTGTTAATGCCACCTTCTCTGCCCCATCCTAACCCAGATTTTGGTTCCTCTTTTCTCTTCTCTTTTGAATGTCTGGTTTCATTTCTGCTGTCTGAGTGTTTCCATATGTTTATAATTGTGGTAATATAGCTTGCTACCCTTTTAGAGTCTGCTGTTGATTATATCATAAATGTATGATATCATATTTGTCACAAATTATTTTTCATTTGCATTGTGTTTTAGCTAGTGTAAAACTAGTTAAAAGCTTGGCATCAACTTGTTGATGTGGCTTTATGATCCTCTACAGCAACTCTCTGAAGTTAAAATTTTCACAAATTTCGAAGCTGCAGGAGTTTGGGGTCATGCTCCACATGCTATGGGAGAGTCTTTGAGGTTTCTCTGCAGAGTCATCTGGTCCACTTGTTCCCCTACCTATCATTGGCCCTCCCAGAGAATTAGCATCAAACACCTGAGTTCACCACCAGACCTTGGGCTAAGGGCTGAGCATGGTTAGGCATTTGGTTTTAGAGCAAGGAGGCCAAGTATGTCACAGCTCTTTAGGAGATTATTGATTCTTTTTTTTTAATATTTACTTTTTTCTCCACATTTTTATTGGTGCATTATAGTTGTACATAATGATGGGATTTTTTGGTTACGTATTAGTACATGCACACGGCGGAACACTAAGGGGCTTATGGGTTCTTGTTGCAACTTCCACTACTAACAGCTTCCATCGACTGTGTCATTTTCTCATACTGAGGCATGTTCTGAATCCTCTCAAGAATATGAGTGGCATAGAAGTAGTATTCCTGTTTTACCGAGGTATGGTCTGAAGCTCAGAGGGACATGAAATTGGCTCAAGGTCATCCAGTCAGTAAGTGGCCAAAGAGGTAGGATTCAAACTCAAGTCTGTCTGATTCCTTCGTCAGAGGCCCTCAACAATTGGCCTTTCACAGCTAGGCAGAAGAGCCAGAGTGTCTGCTATGTGCACCCACACTCTTATCAACTTAGAGGAGATGTAAGTGGGGAAGAGAAGAGCTACCAACATCATTGAATTTGGAGCCATCTGGGCCAGTGACTTGTCTTCCCAGAGAAGCTTCAATAGAGAGTCTAACTTTTACCCTGTTCACAGCACACATTCAATTAATGAAAATGAAATGGCAAGAAGGGAAAGGAGTTCCAGGCACTATCATAGATTGGTTTTTTTTTTTTTTTTTGAGACAGGGTCTCACTAAGTTGCTTAAGTTCTCCCACGTTGCTGAGGCTGCCTTTGAACTTGTGATCCTCCTACCTCCACCTCCCAAACCACTGGGTTTACAGGTGTGCACCACTGCACCCAGAAGATTGTCTTTTTTTATTCTGAAAACAATCAGATAAGAGAACTTATTATTTCCACTTTACAGATGAGGAAACCAAAACTCAGAGCAGCAAAGCAACTTTTCCAAGACCTGTAAGTAAGTGGCAGATCAGGTGTCACAAAGCTTGTGACGCTTCCCTTGTACCCTCTTTTCATGGCACGATCGTATGGACTCTTAAGATCCTCATACATCCCATATAAACATATCAATATGTTTTAGATGATATGCAGATTTCTTTTCAGTGATTGGCGGAAAGGCTGATAAAGACAGCTTATGATGATCCAGACCTATTCATTTTGACCATGGGCCTCCCCTCACTGCCATCAGATCCATAGCCCCTTGATGCTGGAAACTAAATTCCAATAATGTTAACAGACTGTTGGTAATTATGTATAAGGATAAAGAATATGTTACTTGTTCCTTATATTTTACTTTTAATATATAATTACCTTTTTCTTTTGCATGGTCTGCAAGAAGATTTTCTAGAGGAAGGAAAGGAAAAGAAAATGAGATTTTTTTGCTATTACTTTGACAATTCCTTATTCCTTTGGTTTACCTGCTCTTGAACCTGTGCACTTCCGTCCATCTTCTCCACTCCCTGATCTAGTCCTTCATCATCTCTTATCTGGGCAACAGAAATGGCAACTCAAATTGCCCCCTACATCCTATATTACTCTTTCTGATTCTCTTCTCAGAGAGAGATTTCCAAAACACAACTCTGATCAGAATGTCCCCCTTCATTGCTTTACCACTGTTCTTAGGAAACAGACTAGAATCCTTAACATGACCCACAAGGCCTCCCATGATGCAGCCCTATCATCTCTCCCCTTTGCTTCTGTGCCTTATCAGCTCTTCACTTAAATACTACTCTCTCTGACCATCCTTCAAGTCAAACATTACAATCTCAGGCCTCAAGCTGCTTGATTCCTTCTGCTCAGCTTTCATAGAACCTTTCTTGTGGCATTTGTACATATTTATTTGTGTAAATATTTAATTCATATAATCTTCCTGGCTAGTTTGAAAGTTCCAGAAGGGCAGAATCTTTGTCTGCTTTTGCTCACCATGGGATTTTTCCAAACCTAGTATGAACCAGGTTCTTTAGTAGACCATTATCAATTATGTATTGACTGAATAAAAGCTTCTCCATGTTTAACCTGTGAATAATGAGCTCACAGGCAAAAATCACCAAACATACCAGAAGGCAAGCTATTAAAGTAAAAGCTGCTAAAAACCAGAAGCAATGGATTTAGATCCCATCACCACCCCACCAAAGACAGTGGAAGATGGAATTTTCAGGTATACGACTTATATTAGTGGATGCGGGTATACAACATTCAGCCAAACAGAAGTATTTCCCCCACACAGCCCAGGACACTTACCTACCTCCATCGCCTGTTCATAGAGAAGCTTCTCTAGAAGGCAGGGAGAAAAAAGGGTCAGCTGGTCTGTGTGTGTGTGTGTGTGTGTGTGTGTGTGTGTGTGTGTGTGTGGTTGGGAATTGAACCCAGGGCCTTGTGCATGCTAGGTAAGTGATCTACCAACTGAGCTGTGCCCCCAGCCCTCAGCTGGTCTTTAGGGAGGGTTTTTACTAACAAGCTAATTGTCCCAATATGGACCAAGGCTGTGTGCCCATTTGAAAAGATTAGAGGATTTCAAACCATCAGAAGGAGGGAGAGGTGTTGGATTATATAACTCTCCGAGTTCATTGCAATCATGAGATCCTGTGAATGTGATCATTTTCATGAGAGTTTTATCCAATGAGTATGATTGGATTTCCTAATTAGAAGGCTCTAATTTATTCATTTATTAAAAGGCTGAGGTGACTGATTATTGTCTAATACCTCAAAGGATAAGAATTCATAGCTCTGCCAAGGGCCTTTCTGCAGTTTATTTTATTCCCTCTGCAATGTGAGTCCCTGGGGCGTGACTCCATCAGTATCCTCCCAAACAACTTGCAGGGTCTCCAACCTATAGATAAGCATCCTGCCTACATCCACTTCCTCCTGGTCTTTTCCCAACCTGGACTCCCTTCCACCTACTTACCTCTTGATCTTCTTTGCTTCCAGATGAGGAAAATGCCTACTGTGATGAGGAGCCCCAGGACAGGCAGGACCACAGCCAGCGCCACTGCTGAGGAGGAGCGCATTCCTGGGGATGGGGCTGAAACAGAGACCACCAATGAGCAGTCCCAGGAAGACATCTGAGAGCTGCTCCCTGCCTCAGATGCAAACAGTCAGGTGCATCCCAGCCACCTTCATCACCTCTAGGGATGACCATCACCTCTTGGTCATCATCTGACCAAGATGGGTGAGGGTCTTTGTTCTCTTGGTAACTCAAACCCTGGAGGACATTAAAAGTAAGTGGGATTTAATGTCTCGGGAAGGGTGTTGATGGCCCTGCCTGAAGACCATGGTTTCAACTCAGCTTCTCAACCACCATCTCATCCTGCCCCAAACTCAATAGAAAAGTAATCCTGGGGGCTGGGGATGTGGCTCAAGTGGTAGTGTGCTTGCCTAGCATGTGTGAAGCCTGGGTTCGATTCTCAGCACCACCTAAAAATAAAAATAAAGATATTGTGTCCTCCTAAAACTGAAAAAAAAAATTAAGAAAAAATAATCCTGGGACCTGCAAGTGCTCTGCTGAGTAATCACCCAGAGCTTTCTCATGAGCAGGTCTGCTCCCACCACCTCTCTCTTCAGACCTCTTTGCTCTGGTCTGGAACAGCAGAAAGCAGCCTCTTTGTCCCCAGCACCAGAAGGAGCAGCAAAATAAACTCTAGGTGCTGTGGCAGCAGGCCTAAAGGAGAGGAAGGAGGAAAGGAAGAAGAAAGAGAAAAAGGAAAAGGAGATAAGAGGGCTATAACAAGTGGTGGCAAGCCCAAACTGGCTGTGTCTCCTTGCTCAACCACGGTGTGACCCTAGGCTAGAGATCCAGCCTGGTTCCCCTCATCTGTAAAATGGGGGTGATAAGGGTCCTCATCCCCAAGGGCTTGGAGAGATGTAAAGATCAGTCAGGTTAAGCACTTAGCATCCAGTGGCGGTAGAAAGAAAAGAGGGGAGGGGAACAGAAGGATAAAAAAGGGACACAATTAGCAAATGTCCATGACCCGTCTCCACCCCAAGACTCCAGCCACCGTCTATCTCTCATGGCTTTAAAACCACTGTTCTCTGCCATATGAATCCATATTTCAAGAGTCTTTTGAAAAGGTCTCTACCCTTTAATTTATTAATTCTACTTCCAGAAACACATTCTAAGAAAATAATCAGAGTCACCTCTCAAACACATGCAAAAACGTTCATCACATCATTAGTGGTAATGTGAGGAGAAAATGGGAAACATTCAGAACTAGGTTTTGATTGACCTTAGTCTTCTATAGCTGTACAATGGAATACTATGCAGCCCCTAAAATCATAAGAAGAGTTACTTAAGGACATGGACAAAATATACTCATGACGGGAAGTGAAGGGAAATCCCAGTACAAGAATACATACACACAAGCACACACAGAGACACACACACAGACACTGTTCAGCAATACATGCAACTATTAGTCTTGTAAGAAATACACCAAGATGTTAGCAGTATTTCTCTACAAGTTGTGACATCATAGGCCATTTTTTGGTTTCTTTAAAATCTTCTATATTTTCAAGTTTTCTACAATATACGTGCTTTATTCTTGGAAATTAAAACATTTGAAAGGTCTTTATAAGGTTTCCAGTGGGGTAGGAGTTTCCTTCAGACCTATCACGCGGCCTTTACCTTCTATAAGCATGGCTGTGGTCTTCTCTCGGCCAAGGACCATGTTGCGGATGGTGCAGGACACGTTCCCCAGAGTGTTGTCCCTGATTCTGCTGGACACTGCGGTTCGGAAGAGTCCGGTTTCATCCAGGGAGTGGTCCTCAGACAGGGATAGAAGCCTCCTGCCTTCCGGGTCCCTCCATTGGGCCCATGGCTGTGGGAACCATCCTACCGACCTGCACACAAGCTGGATCCATCCAGCATCGTAGCCCTTCATGTGGATGTAAGGATCAGAACCTAGAACTGAAGAGCAGACACTGCCTGGCTGAACCAGCCCAGAAATAGATTGGCAGGGCCTCAGTAAGGGCATGGTTCTAGCCAGAGGCCCCGTCCACTTCTGATGAACTGTTATTGACACTTTAATGCCTACTTTCTCCTCACTCCTCCATTCTCCTCCCAATGGGATAAGACAGCGTCTAGCTTTACCCAAATATAATTGAAATCCACCCAAAGCTGTAAGTGCCCATGATACCTGGTCTTCTGATACCTTGTTCCCCACCTTCCAGGATTTTTTAAAAAATTGATTGATTGTAATACTAGGGATTGAACCCAAAGACACTCTACCACTGACCTACAACCCCAGCCCTTTTCATTTTTTATTTTGAAATAGGATCTCACTAAGTTGACAGTGCTAGCCTCAAACTTGTGATCCTCTTGCTTCAGCCTCTCCAGTTGCTGGGATTACAGGGGTGCACCACCACACCCAGTTAGTATCTCAGTCCCTTTTAAAAATTTATTTTGCACCCCAAAGGACCTGTGTTTAGAAAGAGTCTTTGGGGGCTGGGGATATAGCTCAGTAGGTAGAGTACATGCACAAGGCAACAGGTTCAAAAAAAGAGAAAAAAAAAATAGAAGAGTCTTTGTACCACCTATTGAGTTTTTGGTTTTCAGGGCTGGGGATCAAACCCAGGGCCTCACTCACACCACACCTGGTGAGTACTCTAACACTGAGCCACTTTTCCAGCCCTTGTATGTTTTAAAGGAATTGATTTACTTGCTCTTTTCAGTGTGTGACTAAGCTATGACCATAATCAGTGTGTGACCAGATAGAAATGGTATCACTCAAGCAAATGCAAAGGACTTGGGTTGGGCTGAATTTGGGGTAGGCTGATTTTTTAAATATTGAAGATAGTTTGAGAAACACTGTCTCTACCTTCCTGGCTCTTTAAGTATTCTGGAAGCCCAGAAGAGGACCCATTCAGTACATCCACGTCACATCCAGGATTCTGGCCCTTGAGGACTTTTCCTTACAATTGTAGTTATGAGTTCCTTAATAATAAGAGCAAAGAACCAGGATCTGCATTGCACAGTGTTTTTCAAAGTCCCTGTCCCTTCCTCATCAGAAACCGGAGTTGCTACTTCCACCAAAATCTGTGGGACCAAATGGTAAGGCTGAACCATCCAGGCAGTCAAAACTGTGCTTGCAGATCAAAGAAAATTCTAGATGAGGGACAAAGCAGGTATTGACAAAGCCTCTCTAACTGCCACAAATGACCCCAGGCACCTCAACCCCATCCTAACCTGCAACCTGAAGAGTCAGGATGCTCTCTCGACTCAGGTTTCCGACCTGGATCTGACATTGGTATGGACCTCGATCCTCAAGGGTCACATTGCGGATCTGCAGAGTGACACTTCCCTCTTGGATGTCTCTCACCAGCGTCGTCCTGCCCTTATATTCCGGAATCAGATCTTCATCCCTGTCCTTTCCATCCCGGAACACGTGAACAGCCTGGGAGCGTTGCGATCGGGAGGGCCGCAGCCACCGTATCTGCATGGGCACCGACACCGGCCAGAGAGACAGAGGGCAGAGCAGCTCGGCTGTGCCCCCTAGCGGGGCGAGGTGGAACTTGCTGACGTCTCCTGGGAGGTGCGGGGGGGAGGGGGAGAGGGGAAAAAAGAGAGATAATAGGGATCTGGGAGGGGAGGATGCAGGAGGAACGGCTTCGGAAGGGATGGAAAGAAACGTGGCAGAAAGAACTTGGGAAGGGGTAAGGACGGGGATATACTGGGGGAAGGATATAGACTACGAAAAGCACTGGGAAGGATTGGGAGAAAAAGGGAACCCCCAAAGAAATAAGATCTCAAGCCACGCCTCCTCATTCTGGAGACTCCAAGGTCAGACGTCTTGTCCCTGGCAGGGAAAGAAATTCCTAAACTCCTACCTGACAGGTGCGCAGGCATCTGCAGGGCGACCAGAGTAATGAGGCAGCTAGAGAACCAGGAGCCAGGGGAACTTGCCATCTCCTTCCGAACTAAGACAGGCAAAGAGAAGAATTGTGGTGAGCTTGACAGGAGGGACCGTATCACCTAGGAGGTAGGGCTGAGACCCAGACCCCATGGCCTGCGTTCCAGAACGATACAGACCTGCTTCTAAGTCCAGCTCCACTACTTACTCCCTTGTAACAGGGTGACTGAACTTCTTGGAAATGCTGTTTCTTCATCTTTATAATGGGTATAATAACCATGCCTTCTTGCAGCATTATTGTGAGGGTAGAAGGAGCTAAGTACTCTGGGAGCCTTAAATCTATAAAAACTGTGAATGAGGATAATGATGAGGATGAGACGAGTGAACACTGAGTATGATTTAGAAGGCAAAAGGAAGAGTCTGGGAGAATGAGAACGTATACCCAGAACTAAGAAAGTAAGAACTGGTCAGACTACTGGCCTCTTGCATTTAGTTTCCAGGCCAGGCTTGAGAAATGCCTGTTTCAAACTAATCTTCACCCACCATATAGCTTGGAGCTCCTCTCCCTAACAGTCTCTCAAGTTGACATGCAACAAACTAATATTCAAGCTCTTTCCCATTCATCATAAAGGTACTAATCCTACAAACTCAGGGTCTGGAGTTGAAAAGACTTGGGTTAAAGTCTTAACTCTACCCATTTACTAACCCCAGGAAAGTTGTAAACATCTGCATCTTTCAGGTTCCTAACCTATAAGAGGAGGCCTTCTTCACAGGAGAGTGAGAGGATTCAAAGGCAGGAAAGCGCAAAGCACAGACCACAACAGCACACAGGACAATATGGAGATGTTATTATTACTGAACTATCCCTGGAAGGTAGAGATCACCGTGTGCACTGCCCAAGGGACACCCCACAGTGTTCCTGCTGTGAAACTCTGCCCCCCGCCTACTTGCTACTGTCTGAGACTCCTTCAACAGGAAACAGAATTTCTCATGCTACAGTGAGGATAAAGTTTATAGACACTCATGGAAGACAGAACTCTCAAATTATCACCGTTTCAGATCCTTTCCAAAGAGGAGGTTTTTGTAGAGGTCAGCAAGCCTGTTCCCAAAAGGTCACAGATTGGGCGGGTATGAGCGGGTATCAAAGGGAGAAGCCAAAGGTGAACTTTAAGCTCTGAACGCATTATTGCTTCAAACATCCAATTCTGTTTTTCTCATGGCAAAAAACACACTGGTTTAGAGTTGGTTTTGTTTTTTAATCGTGATGCATACAACATACCCTGTAATCCCACATAATGGGAGGCAAAAGTGAGGTTAATATTACAATAATTCATATTTATTCATATTCTCCCTCTCTCTCTCTCTCTCCCTCCCTCCCCAACCCACCCCATCTCACCTACTTACCTACAAGTTTTTGTTCAGTTACTCAGAAACTGAACAAAAGAAATTAAGTACATGAGAAAAACTCTCTCCTAATTATGATTGACGTTGAAAGTAAGTAGGGTCCAGGATCCCCACAATTTAACAATAATTATCAAATGATTTGTGAATATGAAAAAGTTTAATTCATCAAGAAATCCCCACAATTCTCAAAAACCCTCAACTTCTTAGTGATTTTAAAACACACCCTAGTAGACATACCCAGTGTGTGACCCAGAACTCCCAGCTATCAGGGGCTGCCTGAAATCAAATAAGAGGGGACCTCTACGGACCTGTATTCCTAGGTGCAGACAGTTAATGAAGTGCTTAAGAGGTTCTAGTCCTGGCTTTGCCATTTCCTAGCTGGTGGCCTTAGACAGCTTAATTTTCATCTTCAAACTTCCTCTCAAACTTCAGGGATTGAACTCAGGGTACTTGACCACTGAGCCACACCCCCACAGAAAATGAAGTTAATAATTGTACCTACCTTATAGATATAGATATAGATATATAGTGAGGATCAAAGAAATACATGTGAAGTGATTTGCACTGGACACTGGAAATTTAAAAAGCAAGTGAGGTTCTATCAGGTGTTGCTCTGTGTAAAAAGGCAATTGAGGTGACTTCAGGAGAGGAGTCTCCCTGAAGCACATCACCAAGCTGCCAATGAATGGAAAGCAGCCCTGTGAACAGACTAACCTAAGAAAGGATGACGTCAGAAGTACTCACTCTCCAGTCACAAGTGCAAAGCAAGTGAAAACCATGATTAAGCATCACTCATCTTCCTTTGAACACTCAAATATTATAAACAGCAATAATACCCAGAGTTGTCACACACATGGGCAAACTGACTCTTTTTCACAAGGACAATTTAGCAATAATTATCAAATGATTCAAGAATATGCAAAGTTTTAATTCATAAATTTCACTTCCAGAAAATGATCCCAAAGAAATAAATAAGGATTTGCATAGCGGTTTAATAGTGAGGATGAGCATCACACAGTTATTCATAAAAGGAAAAAACTAAAAACAACCTACTAAAATGGGAACAGTTAACTATTTATGGTACATTCTTACAATGGAATACTACAAAGCATTTAATAATCACATGGGAGAACAATCTTTAATAGCCCTGAGGAATTGTCACTACAATAAGTTTTTAAAAACTATATATAGTATGATGATTTGGAAGAAAATAGGCAAGAATGTAGATATTAAACAGTGGCTATTCCTGGGTGTAGGGAGAGGATTAAGGTCATCCTATGGTTTTTGTTTGTATTTTCCTTTATATTTTCCAAATTTTCTGCCTCAAAGATATATTATTTTTATTGTCAGAAAACAAAGTTATTAAGAGGAGGAGGAGATGCTTGATCAAGAAAGGAAGGAGAAGGATAGTGGAATGTGATGGACATCATTATACAAAGTACATGTATGAAGACTTGAATTGGGTGTCAACATACTTTATATACAAACAGAGATACAAAAATTGTGGTATATATGTGTATTAAGAATTATAATGCAAAAAAACAACAAAGTACATGTATAAAGACATGAATTGGCGTGAACATACTTTATATACAGAGATATGAAAAATTGTGCCCTATATGTGTAATAAGAATTGTAACGCTTTCCACTGCTGTCGTTTATTTAAAAAAAAAAAAGAAAGAAAAAAGAAGGGAAGGAGAAAGAACAGAAGCAGAGCTGGAGGTCCCCATGGGGTTGAGTATACAGATGCTATAGGTAGCTACAGTGGCTCAGTGGGGACCTCTAGCCCACAGTGTAGAGGGTAAGATTAAGAAGCACGGCCAGTTGGGTATTTTTTAATGGATGTAAGAACCATTTGGTCACCATATGGATTTCTAGGATTGATTCTTCTGATCTGATTGGCCAGAATGGCCCTTCCCCCATCATGTTCTCATGTAACATGTATGAACATTACAGTACTCACTATTATATTAGTGTATGACTGAATTAACATGAACTCAAATATATATATCAGGGATTGAACTTAAGGGTACTCGACCACTGAGCCACATCTCCAGCCCTATTTTATATTTTATTTACAGACAGGGTCTCACTGAGTTGTTTAGAGCTTCGCCATTGCTGAGGCTGGCTTTGAACTCCTGATTCTCCTGTCTCAGCCTCCCAAGCTGCTGGGATTACAGGCATCAAATATATTTTTAATTGCAATATGGTTCTATATTAACAATAGCTCCCATTTATTGCATCTTAGATACTCTAAGAATACTGTCTTTAGTACTGACAACAACCCTGAAAGAAGATATTGTTGACTTTTTACAATTAGAACAAGCAAGGCAATTATGCACACGTTAAGGTACTATGCAAGTGAAATTGCCAGAACCTTTCTGGAAGCAGAATGCAAAACATGGGTAAATAGATGCATGAATGAATGAATGTTTGCATGCATATCTCTGTGTCATGAGTTACAAAATGAGCAAATGATTCCTCACTTTACAGAATAATTATCATGGAATTCCTTTATGAAGATATTTCCCCTAATAAATATAAAACATGATTTCACTTCCTAAAGTTTAACAGACATGCCACGATTTGGGGCTTTTTCTCTCCTACTTATTGTAAGAAAGTCTAGAAATCCCCTTCTCAATTTTGAATCATTTATAATATTCTTCAAATCTTTCTTTTTAAATTTTTAGTTGCAGATGGGCACAATACCTTTGTTTATTTATTTATTTATTTACTTACTTACTGTTTATGTGGTGCTGAGAATTGAACCCAGTGCCTCATACATGCTAGGCAAGCACTTTACCACTGAGCTATAACCCTAGCTCAACTATTCAAATCTTTTTTCCATGCATGTATATAACCTTTAAAAAAAAATAGGGTATGCTGTATCATCTTGATATCTGATATTTTCACCAAGCACTACAGATACACATTTTCCAATACCACTAAATATTTTTAATGGCTCCAGTATTCCATCACAAACATTGAAAATTTTTAAAATAATTTCGATTGTAGGATATCTCCATTGTTTTCTAATGCATTGCTGTTCTGAACATTGCTACAAGCGATGTTCATCTGATTGATGGGCTGGAATCAGGAGGCTTAGTCCTAATGGTGGAGTGGCCCCTAACTACCTGTATGACTTTACACAGTTAAGCAAGTTACTTAAACTCTTAGGCCTTGAGTTTCTCATCTTCAAAATAGGATTTTTAATTTGCATTACCAAACTGCCCATCAGAAAGCTCATATCAATTTTCAAAGTATGATAAATTACTTATTTCCCCCCACAACCTTGCCCTCAGTAGATATTATCAATTAAAAATTTCTTCTTCTTGTTGCTTTGGTGAGTAACAAAACGGCATCTCTTTTCTAAAAATGTAATGGTCTTTCATTTTCATTTGAATTTCTTTGATAACTCATTTGTTATTTGGGTTTTTGTCAATGATCTGCCTATGTATTTTGTTCATTTTTGGTTGGAGGGTTTGTTTCTTAATAGTTTCCAAAATGATTCATATAAGTAAGCAATATTTTTCCACTACACATGTTGGAAATGTTTTTCCCCAGGCAGTCATTTACATTTTAAATTTGAAACTGTTGAATTTTAAAAACTTATAAATCAGAAAAAAAAAAAAAAGATTACAACAGACAGTCCCTTGCCAATCCCAAGCAGTTTAAGAAAACCCTGCCAGTCTACAAATGATCAGTCTGAAATCGCACAGCACGGGACCCAGAAGATAGTACAGTCTAAATACATATTAGTTATAAAATTAACAATGATGACAGTAATAGCTAGAGTCTTTAGATAAGTCTGTCTGTCCTCGTCCCCTTTTATGTTCTTTAAATGACAGTTAACCGCTGTCCAATTTCATCCTTTAAGACATTTTTGAATAAGAAGAAAAGGGATTATTTCTCCACTGAACCTTAGAATCCCAAGAAATCTAAAGGATTAGAAAGAATGAAAAGAGGAAAGAGAACTCACCACTTCTGGGAACAGGGTCTCTTGTCCCTCAGCAACAGAGCTGGAGTTTCCAAGCTGGGAATTCTCCTTGCCCCATGTAGGGAGGTCAGGCACCAGGCCAGAGCATCAGGAAGAGTCCCAGGAGGAGAGCCTGGGGAGAGTTCATATTTTATTCTAAAGACCAAAGCCCCAAGCCAGGGGCACCCTCTGCCCCACTGACTCCCTTCTTGCTGTCCCTGTAAACAAACAAGCAACGCCCTGCCTGCCTGCCTGTTTCTGATAAAGGAGCAGAGCAAAGAGGAGACTCCCTAAAAGCGAGGGAACCACTGAGGGCCACTGGGCCTGAGGGACCTTTATCCTGACTCCCTTTTCCTCCACTGCTCACAGCTAATAATAATGATTCTCTCTGCTACAATTTGATCCTATCACACCCTTTTCGAAAAGCTTGTCCCCCTTCACCTTTCAAAACAGAGTAAATTAGAAGATTGGTTTCAGAGACACCCACGAATTAGCCACGTTCTTTAATTCACTACCTTTATCTCCAACCACACCTTGATGTGTGTTTTCCAATAAGCAAACCTGCTTACTGTCCTTCAACGTGTGATAAACTCTTTCCCGCCTATCTTAATCCCATAATCTTATACCCATATATCCATAATTTATTCTTAATAATGTATTGTATACTTGTAGTACTTTGAATTTTATAAAGATGCACTCATTACACAGTGAGTACAATGATTTCCTTTTTTCACTCAATATTATTTTCTAAAACTAGCAGGTTCTTGTGGTGGCCCACACTATGGCCCCTCAATTCATCCAGTTTCAGAGTAATTGAGGCCTGAAGGCAAGCTGCCAATGTGCCACCTCACAGGCACAGCACTTCTTTGCTTACCTGTGTCAGGTTTCTGTAAAACTTTTGTAGAAAGTTTTACAGAAAGTTTCTGTAGGTTTCTCAGCCTGTGGGCAACCCAAAAGTTCACCCAAGTTAATGCCTCAGGGGCATCAGCCAGTAGTGATGGGAGTCAGCGGGAAATGCCCCAACCTCACACCTTCAGAGGGACACTTCTGAGCCATCTTCTAGTTGATTCCTTGGAGAGTTCCCAATGGGACTGAGCAGGGCAGCCTATAGTTATAAGTAGCTCTCAATGCTGCCCATCACTTCAGCTTTTCTTCCTTTTTTCTCACTCCCATTTCTAAATAAACTTGCACTGAAGGGTTTGCTTCACACTCTGCTTTTGGGCGAGTCCAAATTAAGACACTGGAATTCACTCAAAGTACAAGGCCCAGCAGCAATCCCCAGCATCTCCAAAGGAAAGAAAATAAAAGGAAACTCACCCAGATTGCTTCGCAGAGTTCAAGAACATTCATTCACTGCTGTATAGTAGCAAATATATCAAGTTTGTCTGGTCCCTTGTTTAAAGAAATGTGGGTTATTTCTTTTTCTTTTACAAACAGTGATGCTCTGAAATTCTTCCTCCTTCCTTCCTTCCTTCCTTCCTTCCTTTTTCTTCTGTTACTGGGGATTGAGTCCATGGCTTTACACATGCTAGGCAAGCACTCTACCACTAAGCCACAACCCCGGACCTGAAATTCATGATAGAACCATTTCCCAGTTTCTAAGTACAAACTCCTTCAGGACAGCAGTTCTCAGTGTGTGTGGTGTGATCCATGAGCCCTGAAAATCCCTGAGACCCTTTCAGGAGGTCCACAAGGCAGGGTCAAAATGATGTTCATATTAACACAATGGTGCTATTTGCCTTTTTCACTGTGCTGACATTTCAGGGACACCACAAAAGCAATGATGGACAAAACTGCTGGCACCTTAATGCACATCAATGAGTGACACCAAACTGCAGTGAAAGCTACTAATTTTATTACATCTCAACATTTGGAGACATACTTTTTCAATATTCTGTGAAATCAAAGGGGAAGGAAACAGTTCTGCTGCTTCTCAGTCTTACAACTTTCTCAAAGACACACATAGTGGTGGTTAACCTGTGGGCTGAAGAAGTCACTCAACTCACGGAGTATCACTCTTACCTGGGAGGACAACTCACAAACTATGGTCACTCAGACTTTGGACTTGTCGGGCATTTTCTCCCAAAGGAAAGAGGCATACCTGTTATCTCAAGAAGAACAACTGGCAGTGTTGATTGCCAAGGAGAAAATACAGTCTTTTGAGTGAAAATTAGAATTCTGAAAAAACTCTTATCTGTTACCATGAGCCTAATAACTTCCCAATAATGAAAGACCTTTCTGATAAGATTGGTAATGGTATGGCTGAGTGGGATTTCTTAATATTGTATAATGAAATGTGTCAACCTTTGGAACATCTGCATACGTAGCATACCAATAATTTCCAGGTGACCAATGCACATCTTGCAAAATCATGCACAGAAAAAGATCCATTCAAAATGCAAGATCAACTAGTGGGTCTTACTATAATGGAGTACAAGAAGCTCATTGCTATGGTTTCAGAGTCCATGTCTTGCTGAGTCTTGGCACGGTGTCAAAGAAGAGTATTCAAGATTATCTAAAAAGACTGTCAAAATGCTCCTTTTTCCAATTTTATACACTTCAATCACACAACATGCTGCTGCATATTGGAAGAAACAGCTGATAGGAGAATACAGCTGTCTCCTTAAGTGACTGTCTAGCCACTTAAGATTTCCAGAAATATAAAACAGTACCACTCTCCTGAAAATTTTTTTTACGAAAACATGTTATTTATGTTAACATGTAATATGCATATTATGTTTATTTTAAGTGAAGTGATAGTTATATTTACTATTTATCAGTTTTAACTTCTTTTAACCAACACATCATTGCACCCATGTATGGGGTATAGTGTGATAATTTGATACATGTACAAAATGCACAGTGATCAAGTCAGGGTAATTAGCATTTTCATCTCTTCACACATTTAACATTCATTTGTGTTTGAAAACAAAAGTTGGGAAACTTCAAACTCCTCTCTTCTAGTTATTTTGAAACATATAATAAATTGTTGTAAACTATATTCACCCTACTCTTACCATAAGACACTGGAACTTATTCCTTCTAACTGTGTTTTGGTACCCATCATGAACTTTTCTCATTTCCATCACCCCAAGTTTTAATTTCTAATCTGGCAAATTTTGAAAAGCATAACTCAAATAATTGAAGCTCTTTGAGATCCTCAATAATTTTAAGAGTGTAAAGTTTTCCTGAGAATATGTATCTGGAAGTGGTATTGTGAGGGTGTAGCTGATATTCAATTGCATTCCAAAGTGATTGTACCAACTTATAATTTAACTTTCTTTTTTATATATTTATTTTTTAGTTGAACACAATACCTTTATTTTATTTATTTATACCTCTATTTTATTTATTTATTTTTATGTGGTGCTGAGGATTGAACCCAGGGCTTTGCACGTGCAATGCGAGCATTCTACTGCTGAGCCACAACCCCAGCTCCTAATTTAATTTTCATAATTAGTATTTTTACTACTTCCTCAAGGAATGCATTAATTTCATCAAATAATCTAAATCACATTTAAAATGAATTTCTTCTCTGAAATTTTCTTTTTCGGTTTATAAACTCAGGATAAAAATAGATAAAATAGATATAGATATCACTCATTGTAATCCCCCAAATCTAGTGACAACCTCTATGATATTTTTGGCCTGTACGCTTACACACCTTTTCCCCTCCAAAACGAGGCTACAATATACATAATAATGAATAAACTCTATTTTTACTTAGGTGTACTTATAATAGTTTTAATCTCAATTATTTCTTGATTTTGTCCCTATTTTTTTAAATTTATTTTTCAGGAAAACTTGAACAACTCAGAGGTCAAAATCTAAATATTCAGTCACACTCTGCTTTAAAGAAAAAGATGCTCCTCTGGACTTCTGGGTATATAAACATGGTTTACTGAAGATCAATGCATATTTCTCTCTCCTGAAATCCCACCAAAATGACAATCTTCTTTTTTTTTTGATACCAGGATTGTCTAGTCTTTTTTATTTTTTATTTTGAGACAAGGCCAAACTAAATTACCCAGGCCTTCTCTTATTTACTGAGGCTAACTTTGAACTTGCTATCCTCCTGTCTCAGCCTCCCGAGCTGCTGGGATTACAGACGTGTACCACCATACCTAGCTCAAAATGACAATCTTGAAATAAAAAAGGAAATGCTTGCAAAGACAAAGAGATGGGAGAAGAAATAACTGTGAAACAAAGATGTCAATTCACTTTGAATCGAGGGAAGGAGATGGATGACTAGTAACGGATCTAGTAAAAACAGAAATCTAATCTAGGTGCCTATCGGGTTGGGATACCAATAAGAAGAAAGCTAATTCTCAAATGAGAAGCTTTCAGTCTTGGGTTGGGTGGGCCCAGGGCATGGCTC